GCTTCCGGTGAGAACATTGCATCCAAAAGCCCTGGAAAAGCTTTTGCAAGATGAAGAAACTCTGCAGAAAACTGAGTGAGTTCTCTTGTACCAAATTCGAAAAAGCGAATGTGAATAACGAAAAAAAATATTTCAATAGCACTATCATATGAATGATCTATTGACTCGACCCAGAAATAAAGGACTCTTGATCCGAACATTCATTTTTCAACTTGATGAAATCAATAGTAGCGAACACAAGTCTTAATGCTATTTTAGTTTCGCAGTAAGAGCGCTTGAAACTGAGGCACGAAATATATCTGAATTATGTTTCAATCAAATTCATTTTGTTCCGCTTTGCTTCCCATATAATGGGTTTTGAACTTGATTTTTTTTTTTTTCGCTCCTGAAAAAATCAGAATATGCAAAACGAAATATTAATTAGTTTGACTGTTTCTGGCTGCGGATTTTACATAATCTTAACGTGTGCAGAACTGAAACAGCCTTCAGGGGGTTTCAAGCAAGTTAAATAAACAAAATATGTACTGAATCATTTCACTTGAAAAAGTGTGCAATGCAGTTTAAATGCATGAAGTCTGCTGAAAAAGTCGTAGGAAACAGGGGTTTGATGTGAATTTTCCTTCCAAGGACGTGTGGATTGCAGGTTTTTATTTTATTTTTACATTGCGTCTATTGTAAAAATCTCGTTCAATCTTTTCCAGAAAAGATAGTGACAAATTCCTCTTCTTGATATTTTTAAAGCGTCTGTGGTGCAGCAAACATTGAATTAAATATTCCTCGAAGGATCATGTAAATCTAAATATGTTACACATATTTTCAAGACTATTAGATACAAGGCTTTGGTTTTCCAATTTGGTTTCCTTTTCCTAGTCAGAGCAGTTAGCATCAGCACCATGACCACCGTTTAATAAGTTCAAGTGCAAAGTTATGGAATTCAATAAAATACAAATGATTTCCCATTACTATTTTTCCTGTCTAAATAAAAGGAATCGATGCCATTCCGATTGTCTTCTCGAAGAAGATAGTCCAAGAGCAGCGTTATCTTTACAAGAAGGCGAGAAAATGAGTGAACAAGCATCTGAGTCGATTTGCCAAACTGAAAAAGTGAGCAAAAGCAAGCGAAGAAAGTCAGTGAATGACGAACGGAACAAAGGTGGAGAAACCGTAGCAATCTCGTGAGTTTATAAATATATATATTTTTTTGGAGGAGGAAATGTTTTAAAAACCATGATTAATTATTTCCCGTTCCTTATTTTCTTGTATCAGTCAAAACCGCGAAACAATGATCAAAACGCGACGATTGAAAAATAATGCGACGGGTTCATCTGATTACTGCAGTGCATTCGATCAGTGAGCGACTGTTTTTTTTTTCCTTTTCAAAGAAAAATAACCTTTTTTCAAAGAAAGAAGGTTATTATTTTTCTTCCAAGTATTTTTTTTTTTTGTTTCAAAGAAAATAACCCATAACATTTCCTGTTTTCTTTTGTTCGTCATCGAATTTCGTTCACTTCGCGTTTTCCTTACTTTCCTTCCGCCATTTTCTTCCCCGAAAAGAAACGTGAATGTTTGTGCCGTGTCTATGTTGAAAGTTTCCCGGACAGAGGAAAGCTCATCAAGGATGAGAACCTGGGGAAGATACCCGGAAACTTGAGCCCCATGGGATCCCTTTCCAGTAA